TAAAATGAAATAGAATTCTGTTACATTGCTTATATGATTAACGTGTGCCTGTTTTGCTTTTTTGCGCTGTGTTCGAAATAGAAAAGGTTTCCTGACTTGTTTTTATAACCATTGAAGGTGACTTTAAAGTTGGCTTTTTTATTAGTAATTGTTTAATTTAGCATAATTACACTTTTACTACTATTTCACATCCGAGCAGATTTTTAAAGGGTTCTAATTTATCTTCCTACCCTGATACACTAAAAAATTCCTTCCATGTACAGAATATTTTTATTTTTTAAAATTGAGGGGCTCACTCTTCATTAGGAACATTTAAGTCAACAGTTTTTAAATTCCATGTATATTTTGTAAAATGCTTTCATGCTTGAAAATGACTTACAGGCTCAGATGAAAGCTCTTACATAAATGCAAATTTCATTTGATTATATTTCAGTGTCATCTTCTGTAATGACAAAGGTGGAATTCTTAGCTTAGGGGTAGATAAAAGTGACTTTGAATTTCTGACCTGGGCAAAAGCACTATGGTGACTGGTTTGTGTTAGAGGGTGAAATTCTTTCTTAGATGATGGAGGATGAGTTATGGGTTCATCATTGAGACAAATAATAACACTTTCACTCTGAGGGTTATATGAACTGAATCAACACAAGACTGGTTTCAATCACAATTAAAAGAAAACAATGGTTATTTTTTCCTTTTGTTCATTCTCTTCCTCTTCCTTGAAAGCCTTATACATCTTCATCTTCACCTGTTGGCCAACTCTGTCTTCTCTTGGACACTTCATTTGACTTAGTCCTTACTATGGTGTACTTACTCATGTACAAATTTACCCTCTGTCCTGTCTTGTCAGCTATAGTTTGAAAATAAAGTCTTGTTTCACTGCATGATACTGTGCGCTCATAGAGGGACAGTGTCATAACTACTAAGTGTTTATGTGTGGTGTGATGTATATATATTCATATAGTCATTCATATAGTTTATGCCTACCTGGGATCTTAGGTAATTTGGTTCAGTTGTGTTAGGGAAAATTACATTAAAATGAGGTTAAATAGTTTCTCCTAAAGGTTATGACTTGTGTGGTACAGAAAAGGCTAGAACTAGAAGTTGGACGTCCTAATTTCTAACCTTGTTCAATTTCCACTCTTTCTTTCTTGTATTGATTGAGCATCTACCATGTATCCGGCCCAATAACTGAACTAAGCATCCTTAAGGATTACGTAGTAGTTTTTCTTTTTTTTTTTGGTACTGGGGATCGAACTTACGTCCTTCCGCTTGCGAGGCAGGTGGTGGAACCACTGAGCTAAATCCCCGGCAGGATTATGTAGTTTTTGTGAAAGTAGGTCATGGATGGAAGGTTGCCCTGAGAAATTGACTTAGACTTGTAGGTCTTGGCATCATATTTATCTACCTTTATAATTTAAATGCAATTAAATCAGACATATTTCTTATATGCTCACTCTGTACAGAGCCCCAAAAGACATTAGAACTTGTCAGCCACAGCTCTTTCCATCATTGTGCAGTCTACAAAAGGGATAAAGTTAAAACATAACTATTAGCATTGAGCAAGATATAGAAGTCCCATGGATCAGAGGGTTCCAAGAGTACACATTTTTTTTTGAGAAGGAAATCAGGAAGAATTTATTGTGAGAGGACCTATGATACAGCCCCTGAATAAGAGCTCTTTAAAGAGAGTTGAGAAGTGAAGTGGGGAAGACATTCTAGATCCAAGAGAGGACAGCGAGGGTACACCAAAAGAGAGAATTATAAGAATTTAGGGGTGACAGACAATGATTACCTTGTACCGAAGCAGGGTTTTGGTGTCATTTTCTACACCATTGAGAACATAGTCAGTTGAATACCCTTAGAGCCAACTGGAAATGCAGATATTCTCTCTTGTTCATACTATTGGACCACATGACTGTTTTGTTTGGTTGCTGGCTATAGGAACTATTACACACTACAACTCTAGTAGTAACTAATTCTTTAATTGCCTGGCACTTATTGAGGGCCAATACATATTTTAATCACCATAGTGAAAAGTGTTAGTGTTTTGAAACTGTTTCACAGAAAACAACTGCTCTAGAATAAAAAACTGAACTCTTTGCAACTGACGTGGCTGTGGTAGCCTAGTGAATATCAAATTCATGTTTCAAACACCACCTACAGTAACTTGTGTCATCATGGAGCTTTAAGCCAATTCAGAAAGGGGTCCAACCATTTTTCCTTGTACATAGAATAGTTTGTCTAAATATTGTGGTAAAGTGCTGAAAGATTATTTACTCAGCAGCATTACATTAACCAGTCCCCAGCAGTGCTGCCTGCTGTGTTCCAGGGTCTGTGCAGGAACTCACTGTTACTGGTCAGAAAATGGAGAAGTATCTTTTAGAATGAATGGTACAAATGAATGGCCTCCAGTCTAGTGTGTGTGTGTGTGTGTGTGTGTGTGTGTATTTATATTGTATTATTTATATTATTATTTAATAAAATAATATACATTGATTATTTATATGTTAAATATATATTTATCTTCATACAGTTGGCTAGGTTTAAGGTTAAGGATATTTCAAAGAAAAAAAATTTGCATTTTGGCTTCCCCTAAAAAAAAATTATGGAGGATCTGGCCATAATGGGCCTGCCTTCCATAGCAGCAGTTCTTTGGAGTTATGTAGGCACTGACCTCTTTAACCAGGGAAGGTATTTCCCAGTGTGTGATAGGGCCCATCACAACCTTTTATTGTATCTAGCCGCTACTTATTTCTGTGGTTTCCCAGACCTTAAGAACATCTAGTGGCCCTTACTTAACAGGGATTGTTGCCACCACAGATCTCTTTAGTCTCTATTAGCAATCTATGGCCCACTAGACAGTTGATTTTCTTCATAACACCTTGTGTCTGTGTAGCACTTTATCAGAATCATCTGGTGGTCTTCTTCAAAGATTGATTGCTGAGCCTTATCTTAGAAGTTTTGATTCAGTAGGTCTGAGGTAGGATCAGTGGATGTGTAGTTATTTCTAGCCAATTCCCAGGTGTCACTGATATTGCTGACTTGAAAACCACTGGCAGACAGTACTATAACTATTTGTGGCAAGCCACATGAGTTTGGGAGTGCTTTATGTGTTCTTCCCCACCAGAAATAACATCTGTAAAGATTAAGCTCCTTCCCGGGAACATCAGAAATGGAGTCAGGTTCCAGACTATGACTTTAGATGAAATCCAGCAGCAAACTACTCTTCATACATATGAGGAGTCTAATTGAGAATTCTTCCAAGGGTGATCATTGTCCTATCTTAGAACACAGAACTTGTTCATATTTAATGAACAAAGGCAAAAAGGGAAGGGTTGAAACTTGATTACTAGACATACCTGCTGAGGTAGGGCAGAGTGGAGGAAACTGCATATGGCTGGAGATGGACCAAGTCCATAGGCAGAGCAGATAGATGCAGGAGATTCAATGTGGAATGACAGGTGCCAGCCAACCAGAGCACAACATTAAATCTCATTGTGGAACCACTGATAGTATTTCTGAAAGGCAGGTTTGAGGGAACTGTGATTGAACTGTGATCTGTGGGGTGGGACTCAGAAGCAGGTCTCCACACTGGCAAGATCACTGGTAGCTTAAGAAGACAGATGAGCTGGACTTGAACTAATTATAGAAAGCAACTACAAGAACACATTTTCCACAGTCAGGTTGCAGAGTGGAGCTAGAGCTTGTCAGTAGATCTCATTATCATGGTAGAGCAGAACTAATAAGAAAGGGGATTTCTTAAGTCTCAAATGTGATGAGCTTCTTAAAATCTGAGGTCAAAATTAGTCTGTTGAAAAGGAACTCTTCCTACTTATGGGAAGTGAAAAAAGGTAAAGATTGGGATCCAGACAGGGCCTAACATGGAACATATTTATTAAAATTCTATTTACTTAATGCTCTATGAAATGAATAATGTGGCCGTGATGTAATCATGATAGCCATTCACTAAACTTGTTTAAAAGTTTGTAATTTTATACAAAGTCAGGACTGTTTTAGTAATTATCAGCCATTTATCTCCAATTTACAAGTTAATTAGTCATTATATTTATTTGCATATTTATATATATAATTTGCATATATACTACATTCAATGATAACTTATTTGATTGGGATTATTAAATAGTGATATTTTCTGGCTAATTTGAGTATTTTGTTTTTGCTTTTGAAACAGGATCTCACCGTGTAGTCCAGGCCTTGCCTTGAACTCACTATGTAATTCAGGCCAGCCTCAAACTCATGATCCTCCTGCCTTAGTTGCCAGAATGCTTGAATTACAAGCCTATGCCATGATCTGGCAGAGAATAAATTTTTTTGATAAAAATAAAAGTTTTGTTTTAATATTATTGACATTTTTTTCAAATTTCTGTTTTTCTTTGTAAATATGATATACTAAAATATAGGTCTTTTTTCATTCTTCAGCCTGAGAAATATTTTGGAAATTGGGATGTGTAGGAGTAGAGTGGGTATTATAATTTTATCAGATTAAATCATTAATATTAACTATTCTTCTGGTGGTTTTATGCTCTATCCTAAAAGTAAACTATAAAAACATCCTCATTAGTTGAGGATTTTGAGTTTCTCCTAAGATGGGCTATTGAGTACTTTTGATTATAATAAACTATAAACATAGAAAGGCTAATTATCCAATTAATAATAGTTTAGGATTATGATAATCACCTAAATACAGTGGTATTTACAGCAGAATATTCTCATTGTTCTGGTGGGAGAGCAGAACAATCCTCTTTCCTCTAGTTCTCTCTAATCAACTTTAAGTAACCTTGAGGTTTCCTCTAGAGAAGATTTGGGGCAAGATTTTCTCTAAGGGAAACAAAAAACATGATAAAGCATTACTTTATTATGAACCATCTTGTAAAACAGTCTATGAAGGAAGATGTTACTTGAGTTATGCACAAACCAAAGGCAATTTGAAAAGTAATGGCGAGTTGTAAAACTGCTGCTTTCTGTTGTTTTTTAAACAGGCTCATGCACAATTAGTTCGAGAAGTTGATGTGGAGAAGGTGTCTGCTTTTGAAAATCCATATGTAGATGCAATAAAGAGTTTGTGGAACGATCCTGGAATCCAGGAATGCTATGATAGACGACGAGAATATCAGTTATCTGACTCTACCAAATAGTGAGTATCCAGCCAGGAGACCTTCTCCATCTTTCTCTTTACTTTGATGTGAAATGTGCTGCACACTTGTAACTTATGTGATCTGTGCTATGTATAAAGCAATCAAACTTAACAGATATGATATAGGTATTATACTTGGGCCAAGCTCATAAATCAAGACTATAAGAGACTGAAATCATGAGTTAGGGAAAATATTTCTTTTACTGTTTTTTTCCTATTTGAAAAACAAGTGGAAGAGTCTAGGAGTCTTTTACCACCCCCTTCTCCTCCCTCAAATTGCAAACCAGTGATTCCCAAACACATACACCATTATGATTTGAAATCTTATAATAATAATTTTTATACAAATTGTGATAAGATCTTATTCATGTGCTAGAAAACACCTACACACATTAGAAATTATAAACAAAAATATATTTGATTATGGCTTCCTGAGACATAAAACTACCTAGTTGCCAGTTTTCAGACCCGGAACTTTGACTGTTTTTTGAGAACCACTATTAGGTTGATGGATGGGTTTTCTTTTGCATAAAAATTGTGAGTGATTTTCCATGCATTCCAGAATTATTTTGTAAGTTGTCAGTCAAATTCACATATCCTGAGAAGATTTGTGTCCTAAAGAGATCTATTCATTCTTTAGATTAAATCTTGCTTAACAGAAAGAAAGTAAAAATTTTGGCAATCATTAGATTAATGTAATCGGTGCAGTCAGCAATCCAGATAATGAGGCGCCTAAAAATGATGGATTTAAAGAAATTTGGGGTGAGGTGGAGGCTAGAATTTAGCCAGATTTCTGTCTCCATTAATTATGTTAAACCAGCATTTGCCTCTTGTTTTGATTCTGGCCAGACAGAAGAATGACTGGAAAATATTCAGCAGCCAGAGGCTAGTTCATATGATAAAGTGACCCAATAGATGAGAGCAGACCCTTGGGGAAAATGAGCCCCAGTGGCTGATTGGTATCACTCAATAATGCATCAAAGACCCAAGAGCTGTGTGCTTTATTTTTCCAGTAGTTATGATTTTGGTCTTCCAGGCATTTGTATAAGATAAGTTTTGATTTGGAGGAGCCATAGAAATGTTGCTTCTTGTATTCTTATGCTAAGTTTGAATCACATAATCCTGACATATGACATAAAATGTTCCATTTTTTTTTTTAGTAGCTTTACTCCTTTGTTTGCTTCTGAAATGTGTGCTGTACTCATTCCATCTCTTCTTCCTCCTTCCACATTTTCTCATTTCCCTTCTTGTTCCCAATCTCTCCTGCTATTTTGCTCACCTTTCATCTTTTCCACCCATCCTCTCTGCCTTTCTCCTTCCCTTCCTTCTTTCCTATCTCCTGAGCTCCTATTGTATGTTTCCGTGAGTACAGAGATGGAAAAGATGCATTCAGCTCTTGTCTGTTCCAAATTCTGCCCCCTCCACCTTTGACCAGCTGTCTGTCTTTTGCTTCCTTCCCCCTCTGTCCTTCTGTTTCCTTTGCCATTTAAAATTTCATCTCCCTTCCATGTCACTGTTGGGTTTTATCTGTCCTCCCCTGTTCCTGCTCAGTATGTCCCTACTTGTTTACTCCTCCACCTTAATTCTCTCTACTTCTCAACTCTTTTTCACTTCTCACATTGACAGTGCAATACCTTTACTGAGTAATACTCCATTTGAAAGTTTCGTATAAATATTTCAGAGTTATGTTTTTAAATTCTTTTACTTCTCATCATTTTCCTCCTAAACCTCTTTTTATATTTATTTAAAATCCCGTCTCTTCCCCTCCCGACCTCTTCCATTATTGAATATTGCCTATAATTATTACCCTCGTGGAGAGGTTTTCCTAGAGGAATCAGAGCTCTAATATCTATATATGCTTACCAGGGCTAGGTTCCTGAGGAGTCTGATTTGCCTCCTGTTCAGGAATGGATCCTCTGAGAAATTCCTTTGCACAGAAGTATCTGCACTGGCTACTGTGAATTTGTTCTTGAGATAAGCCTCCATCACCTCCAGTGACATTACTCTAGGGTAGATGACATGTATGAATTCAATATTGCTTTAGGGCAGAGTTAGCCTGGACAATTTTCTTTGTCAGTGCTGTGATCCTCAGAAAGCCACCATCTAAGAATTCTTCCAGTACAGGCTGAGTCTACCCTAGAAATAGGCTTGCTTGTTGAATACATTCCTTATGATAGAGCCAGACCATTAGGTGGGGCATATGGCCCAGACTAATCTAAAACTCATAGTTTAACTCTTCCCTAGTGGGACAAGGAGAAGTTGATTTCCTGAATTTCATATATGTAGGTATATACATCTACTGTATGTACATATATCTAATTCTTTAACCATATTATTATTGCTGAAATAATATTAAACTTGTCCTTATACCCTTAGACATTTCAGTATATAGTTCTTTATAAAATATATAAAATTAATACCTAAAATTAATAATCAGTACCTAAAATTAATAATCAGTTCTTCTTATTCTATACTCAGTTCATATTCAGATTTCCCAAATTCTTCCAAAATATTCTTTAAAGGTGGTTGATTTTTATGATTTTTAGTACTAAACATTAAATGTAGTTGTCATGTCTCTTAAGGCTCTTCTAGTTGAGACTTGTTTTGCATTTTAGTGGCTGGAGAGATTGCCCTAGATTTGCCTGATTACTTCATAGTAAAATTTAGCTTGCTCCTCTATTCCAGATTTACTATAAACTGGAAATTTCATTAAATACTTGATTACATTACGGGTAAATGTGGCAACTGGAAAGCATTATGTGTGATGTACTTTGGTTTACCTATCATTGGAAGATTTACCACAGTCTGAGGGTAGTGACCCCTTCATTGATTATAAAGCTGCAGTCTTAAGTTCCCAATCACTCTTCACCTGATGCTTTTAATTTCAGATGATCATCCTTGCCTGATTGACTAGGGTTGGTATAAGAATGATTGTCTACCTGTATCACTTGATTTATATTGTCACTCTTCTGTGAAATAGAAGGTACAATATATTTCCTAGTGGAAAGGTGTATGTTCCAGTCTTTTGTTTAAAATCAGTAATTTGTTGCATGGACTAAATAAATAAGATGGTAACGTTATAATTTCTTATCCAAACCGGGACATTTTGAGAAAGAAGGAGTTGCTGTTATACTGAAACAGCAAGCATAAACTGAGAATCTCCAGAGCAGCCCAGGTCATTTGGGTCACCTTACCTAAATGCAGCCTGGGAAGACTGATTGGTTGGTTTGTTTCCTTCCTTTTCTCTGGAATTGTTTATTTGAAGAAGGGTGGAAACAATTGATTTCTGCCAGTTACTTAAGGGGCAATATGGGGAAACTTGAGTTAACTGCCCCATGTTTCTGGCCTCTTCCAAGGATAGTGCAGCACTCTTGATGGACCAGGGCTCATGCAATCTGGCTGAACTGCCTTAATCCCTCCTGTGCCAGGAGGCCTGAGAAGTAGAGTTACCTTATTCTTTCTGATGTGAGTTCTGGGGACTTTTACTTTTTTTTTGCCCAGTAACCTTCTCAACAGAGTTAGGCCCCATGGTGCCTTGGATCAGTCATTACTGCTGAGTTCTGAAGGTTTCTCCAGGATGGTCACAGTAGATGCCCTGTACCCATGGAGATAGAGGTCTGAGATATTGAACATCCCTGATTCCCAACACTGAACTCATTTTCATAGAATAACTCAAAATAATTCCTTTCTCTGTATTCAAGATAGCTGTTACCCCTTTTCCTTTCAGATATTTTTGTGTATGTTTCCCTATGGATCTTGAGTATTTATCTTGACTCCCTTCCTTAATATGACGTTTCCATGTCACTGTTTTCTGTCTTTTAAATAAAAATATACTTCATTGATATTTTGGATTTAATTCATTTTTTCTTCCACCTTGCTTTGGACCTAATTTCTTACTCAAAGTTACTGACCTACAGAAATCTTTCTGAAGTCAAGGTCAACTTCTGAGTACTGACCACAGTGGCAGTTCTTCAGTTTAGATTTAGGGAATATGTAGATGTCAAATCTGACTTCACAAATAATCCATGAAATAATGGATGGTTAATTGTCACTATTTCCATGACCATTGATCACTGCAGATCAACTGTGAATTTTCAGAGTTGAAGGTATTTGGGGTTTTTTCCCCTTGTTTTTAAGGTCTGGTATCTAAAAAGCTGTGTTACCAAAAACAAAAAATAGCTACTATTTATTACACTTACTATATGTTATATTTTATGTGTGATAATTTACATACTCTATTTCATCTAATCTTCAAAGTCTCCCACAATGGTGCATATTTCTTATCATCCCCTTCTGATAGAGGAAGAATTTGGGGCTCAGGAAGATTGAGTAAGTCATTCATGGTCACACAGGTAGCAAGTGATAAGAGTAGGTATTGAATTCAAATTTGCTTATTCCAGAGCCTAAGCTTTTTAACTACTGTGAAATAAAACTTTACCCAGGGTAGATGGATGGAAGATAGTTACACAGGTAGATAATTGATAGTTGTTAGATAAATAATAAACTCATAGAGAAATATCTATGGGCAGCTATTGCATAAAAAATAACTTACCAGACAGGAATTTAGCTCAGTGGTTCCACCTCCTGCCTCGCAAGCGCAAGGACCCGAGTTCGATCCCCCGTACCAAAAAAAAAAAAATCACTTACCATGAAAGATGCAGGTTATTAATGTTTATCAGTGTTGTCTATAAATAATTTCATATTTATAAGGTTGAGAGGAACAATTATATGAAATGTACTGGAAAACAAACACAAAAGGTTTTTGATTATCATCATCAGAACTTAGCTATGTTTAGCTAAGTGCCAGTTATTCATATTAACATAGAAGATGTTCCACACGACAAATATTTCAGAAGTATTCTGAATTGTAGCCTGCAGTCTTTACTGCCTCCCCATCACTTTTTTATTGGAGCCAGTATTAAGGACACAGTAAAGTGATTTGAGTTTCCCTACTTTTGCTTTCATTAGGCAACTTACTAGCAAAATATGCAATAAGATGG